AAGCATATTGAAGACCAAGTTTTACCTCTTGGGGCTGGCCCCGTGGCCGAGTGGTTAATTTTGCGCGCTCCGCTGCAGGCGGCCCAGGGTTTCGTGGGTTCGAATCCTGGGTGCGGACATGGCACTGCTCATCAAGCCACGCTGAGGTGGCATCCCACTTGCCACAACTAGAAGGACCCACAACTAAGAATATACAACTGTGTACCAGGGGGCTTTGGGGAGAAAAAAGGAGAAAAATTAAATCTTTTTTTAAAAAAATTTTACCTCTCTATTACACTGAATATCTAAACAGCATAGCAATGAGAGAAATACAGAAGTGGCAAGATATATCCACTAAGAGACAATGGCAGAATATTGGGGAAAAGAGAAGCTTTAGAGTCAGACAGGCTAAGTTCAAATCCCAGATCCGCCACTTACTTTTGTAGGCTCTTGTACAAGTTATTTAATCCCTTTGAAATGATTCCTTCTCTCCAGAAAAATAAAGTCTACTTTGTAGGGCCTTTGTGACACTGAATAAACTAATCTCTGCAATGTTTCTGTTAATATTTAGCACTTAGTAGAGGCTCAGTCTGGATTAGTTCCCTTCTCTGTGCTGCTTGAAGACATTGAAATTCACTCCCCACAATCAAAGTGGCCCCTTCCCTCCCAAGACCTAATCTCCAGGGCAGATCAAATCCATAACTATTGTTTGAGTGTTTAGCGTGAGAACTGCCCTGGGGTTAAGTATTGAGGTTGAAAAGAAAAGGGTGAATTAGGAGCCAAATACAGATTTCTAACCCTTGAAGAGGAGGGGAAAGGAGAAAAGCCATAAGTGGAGGTAAAGTTAAACAGTACAAAAGATTTAAATAACAGCTCAAGATAATGAATGTTATGAGACAGCACGCATATGCCTAATTGTTCATTGCCCACTGAATATACAGCTGGATGTTACTTCGAGAATTTAGAGGAGGTTGGAAATCTGTTCAGGAAAGGATGGAAGAAAAGACATTATTTGAATTCCGCCTTAGAAGTAGATAGGATTTGGACAAAGGGAGATTTGGTAAGTTTAAAAAGAGGTTGTGGAGTGTCTTTTTGTATAGCGTCCTGAGTGGTGATTCAGTAAACAGAGCAGCTTTCACCAATTCTAAACACAGGCACTGGGAAGAAAGTTATTGTGCTTCCAGCTTACTTGTAAACAAGGGCCCAAAGACTTGTGAGCAAATAAATCAGACTGTTGCTGGGCTCATAACTACTTTCTCTAGGAATTTGTCTAGATTCATTCTGTTCTGAGGTTGACCTTGTCTTACCCTATACAGTCCTAAGTTCAATTGTTTATTGACATTTCGCCTTTTAAAGTTCACTTCAGTTGTATAGATTGGTACATTTTGGATGATGGTAAGTCTCTAAGCAGAATCTATGTAAACAAATTGTTGTAAGAGTCAGATGTAATAGTCCGTGACTCGGGTGATCTCATAGCACTTTGTAAACTGCAAAGGACTGTGAACGTTAGATTCATAGATTTGGAGGCAATTTGAAGGGTCTTCTAGTTTTGCAAATGAGATCAATATAGCCCAGGATGATAGCACTAGAACCAGAACCCAGCTCTTTTGATTATTAGCAATGCCTGCCATCTTTTCTCACTACATTTGCAAATATTTGAGTGTCTACATGCACCAGGCTAAGGGCTAGGGAAATAAGCGTGTTCAAGACAAGCACAGTTCTTTCCCTTCAATAGCCTATATGGGGGAGACAAACAATCAAATGCAAGCAAATTAAATCATGGCAACTTGTAATAAATAATATGACAAAAATAGGCTGCTTTAGATAAGGTAGTGAGGGAAGACTCCTCTGAGCAGGTAGCATTTAAGCTTGAAGTCGAAGGAAACTGAAGCTAACCAAAAGTGAATTGGGAAGAAGGAGGGGAAGGAGAGAGCTCTTCCAGGCCGAAGAAACAGCAAGTGCAGAGTCCTGACGAAGGAAAGAGCTTAGCAGGGTTCACCAGGAACTGAGCAAATGCCAGGGTGAGGATGGTGCCAAGTTGAAGCGCTAGAGAAGTGCCAGCTCACAGGTCGCAAACTCACATGCACAGCCGGGCTGACAACACAAATGGAAAAACTGGAGAGGTGTGCGTGCTTACCAGAGTGATAGGATCTGTGGAAGCCTGAGCACATCCTGCCCCATCTACAGAGCCATAGGTCCTTGTGGCCCAGCTCGGCCAGATCTTCTATTTAAGAGACAGAAATCGAATTTTTAAGCTGTCATCTCCTGATTTTTAAAAGTTTGTTCAAATTTGATAAAAACACTGAGAGCCAAACAAAACACAGAATGTCTAATGCAGCCCAAAGGCCACCATTTTACAACCTCTGAAGACCTTGTAGTCTTACTTCAAGGCAGGTGAATTTTTTTTTTTAAAGATTTTATTTTTCCTTTTTCTCCCCAAAGCCCCCTGGTACATAGTTGTATATTTTTAGTTGTGGGTCCTTCTAGTTATGGCATGTGGGACGCCGCCTCAGTACAGCCTGATGAGCAGTGCCATGTCCGTGCCCAGGATCTGAACCAGCAAAACCCTGGGCTGCCGAAGCAGAGTGTGTGAACTTAACCACTCGGCATGGGGCCGGCCCCTATGGCAAGTGAATTTTTAAGTGCAAATGGATTGCTTTTGAGGGGTTCTGAGCAGGCACAAGATCCAATTTGTGTTTTAATAAGATCATTAAAGCACATAGGTTTGAAACAAAGATCGGAGAAGAAGAGTTAAGCACCAGGGTCACTTCTCCCTGACAAGCTGTAAGCTCCTCCAGGGCAGGGCCTTGATCCATTCATGTTAATTCCTCAAACACACTCGATAGGCCCAAGCCACTTCCCTGCGCTCTCTTTCCCTTCCTTGCAGCAGAGCCAAAGACCCAGCCAGCTATCTTCTCTTCTTTGTAACTGTCTCTACATACTCTCCCCATTAGAGTTCTGTTCACTCCACGCCTGGTTGCTAAGTGAGAAATCAGCTCTTCAGGTTCTCTCATTATATGTTGCTATCACCAAAGACAGGTGTATATATGTATATATACATATATACATATACATAATGTATAAATACAAGTATATGTTTTTATTTCCTAAGGTTCTACTGCAAATTGCTGGGGAAACAGAAAAGAGTTAAAATAACTTGCCCCAAGAAGTTGTAAGGGTACAGAATTCAGTTGTTAATTCTGGCCTGTGATTCTTGCTCAGATAGTAACTGGATGTAGTTTAGGCCTTTCTTTATTTTAAATTTTACTTTTCCCTTTTCTCCCCAAAGCCCCCTGGTACATAGATGTGTATATATATATATATATATATATATGTATGCCTTTTTTTTCTAGTCGTGGGTCCTTGTAGTTGTGGCATGTGGGATGCCACCTCAGCATGGCTTGATGAGCAGTGCCATGTCCGCACCAGGATCCAAACCAGCGAAACACTGGGCTGCCAAAGGCGAGCGCAGGCACTTAACCACTTGGCCACTGGGCTGGCCCAGTTGAGGCCTTTAGAATTGGGCTCTTATTCTTCAGTGGGGCTTTGCAAAACTCAGCCCTTCTTTTGAGTTTCTCTGTACTGGTCCCTCCAATTTAAAGGAAGGATTCAGCTTCACTAAAGTGGGGCTCCCCAAACAGTACATATACATACCAAGGTCACAGGAAGGTAACTTGCTTCCCTTAATTGTGTGACCTTGGGCATGTGACAACTTCTCACCATTTTCTAATCTCTAAAAGGCTAATCAGAACACCTTCCCTGAAGGGTTATTGCGATGTTAAAATGAGATAAAGTCTATAAAGTGAGTGGCAAATAGTAGGTGGTCAGCTTGTTACCAGGTCTTACTTAACATCAGCCCTGATACTGGTTCCCCTACCGTGAACCCAGCATATATGAGTTAAAGCTAAAGGCACACATTCCCACTTCCCTGGTTCTTTAATTTTAACCCATACATAAAACACTTTCAGAAAATGCTGCTTCGGGCCTGGGGTTACTGGGCAGCGGTACCGTTCAGAACCCCCATGGTGCTCTCGTATCCTCCCTGCCTGCCCTAGTCCAAGTGGCTAATTTAACCACCGTCAAACTAAAATCTTGGTCGCTACTAAAACGCACGAGTCGTCGCTCCTCTACTGCTGGAGGTGAGGGAGACAGTTGCTTAGTTTTAGAAAGAGCACCGGTAGGCCCCAAAGATCCCGCCTCCTTCCACAAGGCGAGCCTATCAGCGCTCTTCTAGCGATGAGCGGCAGCTCTCTAGGAGCCAATGAGTCCAGCTCTCTGGAAGGAACCCGCCCATCCCTTGTGTCGTCACTCGGTCTCTGGCAAGATAGACCCAGGGCCCGCGCTTCCTCGCTGCGAGCCTGGCGGGGGGTGTTTGGATTGAAACAGGACTGAGGCCCGACCTTAAAGGGGCGGGAGCAGGGGGGGGGTGGGGGGGGGCTGGGTCCTTTAAAACAAGGCGCGCTGGTGCCTGCCCCTTTAAGGGCGGAGCGTCCGACGACTGAATCTGAGCCCCATATTACCCCGAGTTTCCGTCGCAGGCGGCGAGGAGAGGCTCCTTGGCCGGGTCCGGGTGCTTGGCGGCGGCGGCTTCTTCCCCGCTCGTCCTCCCCGGGCCCGGAGACACCCCCGCCTCAGTCATGCTGAGCAGAGTATGGAAGCAGCTGACTACGAAGTGCTATCCGTGCGTGAGCAGCTGTTCCACGAGAGGGTCCGCGAGTGCATTGTGAGTGCGGGACCCGGGCAGGAAGGGTAGGACCTGTGGGGGAGAAGCCCCGGCGTCACGAGAGAGGGAGAAGTTCGGGTCGGAGTGCGACCGCCTGGGCTCAGAGCGCCGTCAGACTCTGCTCGGACCAGGGGCGAGCGAAGAGGGGGCCCGGCCCGACAGAAGGACCGGTGCCCCAGCGGGCGAACCCCTAGACCGGATCAGCTGGGTAGCTGCGCGATAAACAAAGCCGGTCGGTTTCCGTTCCTCCCCTCCACACGCCCCTCCCCCCGCCCTCCCCCCGGTCCCCCACCCCGCCGGTGTTCTGGGCGTGAGTCCTCCTGTGTCTGAGAGTCTGATGAGCCTGCCGATCTTAGTCGGATAGCCCCAGAGGGCTGGGTTTGATTGGTGGGGGGCTTATTCGCATTTACCCCGCAAGCCCAACTGATGCTTGATGAAGGGGAGATAACGGGGAACTTTGGTGGGTCTTCCACTTTGGAAGAAAGGACTCTTGCTGGGGTGGATTCTACTGTGTAAGGATGCAGAACTAAGGTTTCCCCTTCTACTCCCCTTTCCCCCTCCCACTTCCCTCTCCCATTGGTGTTTGTTAGAAACTGAGGTTCCTAGCTTCCCAGCCATTCAGGGATTTCCTCAGTGAGCTGTTCCCCCCGTGCTCCAGAGGGCACCTGGCTGCCTTCCTGACTCCCTCACTGCCCCTAGAGCAACACTGAACCTGCCACACAGCAATGGATTCCTCACTCCTGGGCCGGGGACACCCGGTGGAGCCTAGGGAGTCACATCTTCCTCAAGCCTGCTTTGAACTCTCAACTCTCATCTTTCTCCTCTGTCTCCTCCCCCCGAGCTCCCCAGGGTAACCCTAACCTGCAAATACTAAATGGAAAGGAAAAGAGAAAGATTTGGAAAAATAGAAGTATTAATGAAGGGGGACCCACTGATGGGGTCATCCATTTTTCTCAGGCTCAAGTCAGCCCTGGGCAGCCTCAGACTGGAGGAGGAGTAAAGTGAACGTGACATAACTAGGTCTGCCCTCATCTGTGAGGACTGAAAAGAGGGAGCATAGCAGTCCATGTGTAGAACTCCAGATCTGCTCTCAGGACGCCTGCCTTGTGTGTTCCTTAGTGGATAATCCCATGTGGTGGGGTTGGGCATATGGTGGCGGCATGCCCATGCCTTGAGACAGTGTAGGGCCCGAGGCCCACATTCCTAGAGAAGAGGGAGGGATGAGACCTTGGACAGAGAAGCCGCCTCCTGGATGTCTCCCCCATCCTTTAGTCCCGTTAGCTGAGGACATCAGTGCTGGCCAAGGGCAGCCTGAAGACTTCTGGTGCCTCCCCCACCTGGCTCCCATCCCCTGCTCTAGAGAATCACTTAGCCTCTGCTGGAACTGCGTGGAACTCCAGCCTGACCTTTTGAGCCCTCCTGCTTTCCTGACTATTACGCAAGCCCAGGGCAGAGCACTAGGCTGTGAAAATCCTGCAGTTACAATCTCAGTAGCTCATTCTACTCTGCTTCCCTAATGTCAAAAGCTACGACTTTGTCCTGGACCCATTGCTTTCTGGGGTATCTATAACTTCTTCCTTCCGTGTATAGATAGCTGTGTGCAGATTCCCTGTGTGGTCGGCTCCTCTTGGAGACTGGAGGGCCCATGAGACTGATCCTGCCTTCTTGGCCTACTTCAAACGCAATAACATCTCTTCTCAGGACTCTCTGGCCCTGATTGTGGAGCCTAGCTGACTGGTGGCTCCTCCCCTAGGCAATAGTAGCTTACTTGGGGTAGGTAGGGATGAATGCATGTACAGAGGAACCTGGCCAAGTCCCGCTGTAACTGTGGACTAGAGGTCCAATCACTCAAGGGCACCGGACAGGCCCTGAGAGGCCTGACCCTGGAATTGGAAGTCACTTGAGGTAGGGACCAGGGATTGACAGCTTTTAAAGGGGCCGATGCTGGCTCTAGAAATTTGTAGCTATTGGGCCCCAACTAAGGCTTACTCTTAGGGGCAGAGGATTAAATGAGGCTCTGATTTGGCCCAGAGTGGACCTGATCTTTCAGGGTCCCTGAATAAAGACAGGCTAGAAGTTCTGACTTGGCATAGAAATGTGATTCCTGCTGATTCTCTCCCGGAGCTTGAGGCAAGGTGGCATTGGGGGCCGGGGAGTGGAGTGCCAGGACCATGCAGACATCCTCTTCTTCCCCTCAAATCTGTTTTCCTTTCCAACAATGTGCCAAGAGTGAATTCCCTCTGGTTCCGTGGCCCATTTCAGGTGTGTGTGTGTCTCTAGGAGTTTTCTCTGACCATTTACTACCCAGGGTTTGACTGAAGCCATTTTCTCCCAGGAAAAACCCCATAGGTTTGGACAGGGTGCTGTTTCCTCAGGTGCACAGGACAGCCCCTGTCTGGTGCTTCTTAGAGGCCCCTGAGGCCCTGACCAGAAGGAGGTACTAGGGAGAAAGATGGAACCCCTGGAAGTGTGGAGCCTTGTTCTGGGGAAGCGACCCCATGGAATTAGAGGCCACCGGGGCTATGGAATGTGCTGGGGATTAGAGCTTCTCATCCCAGCTCACACTCTGCCACAGATCTCAACACTTCTGTTTGCGACACTCTACATCCTCTGCCACATCGCCCTGACCCGCTTCAAGAAGCCCACTGAGTTCACCACAGGTACCTGTGCCTTACCTCCCTCCTGCCTTCCCTTTGCCAGCGTTCCCGTTGCCATGGGGCCAGCCTCAGGAGAATGGGCCTGTGGTGCCTTCTGGGAAAGTAGAGGTGGCTGTTCTGGAGACTTTGCCTCTTCCTCCCAACCTGCAGAGGCAGGGACAAGGTGGTCTAGTGGAAAGTCTAGAAGGAAGTATCTAATAAATGGAACTAATAAAGCCTCTGGGCAAGTCATGTAACTTTTCTGACCCTCAGTTTCATCCTCTACAAATGGGCCTAATAATCTCTGCTCAGTCCATTATCACTGTGTGGACCGAAGGAGATGGTTAATGTGAAAACCCTCTGTGAACCTAAAGTACGCAACTGCAGGGTGCATATTATCACAGGCACAAGCTCTGCCATCTCCTCTCCTACTGCTACACACCCAGGACCAGTGACCTCCCTGACCACTGGGCCCTAGGGCCTGGTGCTAGTGGCCTTTCTCTTTATAGAGGGCCTAGTGTGCTCAGACTGGAGCTTTCCTTCCTGTAGGCATTGTGTGGTTGGGGGGAAGGGGGCAGGGGGTGGACACACTTGCCCCAGTTCCTGGCCCCAGCCTGTACAGATCATCTTGTCCTGGCTCTAGCCTTTCTTCCCCTCCAGATGGTTTCATAAGCCCCCACCCAAGAATCCTCAGTGTGATTCCCCTGGGGATTTTCTCTCTCTCCCCCAACCCTCATTTCCCTTCACTACACCTAGCCACTGATGTAACCAACCTCACAGACCAGTTGTTTCTTGTAATTTCAGCTTATAAAGAGGAAGCTGTAATGGGAGAGATCATGGGGAGGGAGGGAAGTGGGGAATTTCTGGCTTATACTCTTCCCACCTGGGACCACTGACCTTTAAGCTGCCACATTGGCCAGAGAACAGGTTGTGGGGTTCATCGTGTGAGCTCTCCGAGAGCCTCCTGTCCAGCTCTGCCTCTGTGGCCAGGCTCTTCTTTCAGGGGGCAGGAAGGGGGTTAGGAGGGCACACTGCAACACAGATGGCTCCCAGAGCTGCCCGCTGATGTCCTGCCTCTTCCCCATGCCTCTTTCTCTTGTAGTGGATGATGAAGATGCCACAGTCAACAAGATTGTGTAAGTGTCACTGCCTGAGCAGCTGGTACCAGTAGCCTTTAGAAGCTGGGAACTAGTGAGGCCCATGGAACTGAAGGGAGAGTGGGGTTTTCACACAGTGAAGAGAGAGTTTCTGCTCCCACCTGATTTCTGGCTTCTTCCGGCTTTACCTCACCCTGGGGACGTTTGGAGAAGCTGCTGTTCCTGTCTCCCTGGTTAGGCCAGGAGCTTCTGGGAGCCTCACAGTCCTGTTGGCTGGGGCCTGAGTCACCGGAAATGGCTCCAGCTTGGCTTCACTTCCCAGTGGCTATTGGGGAGGGAGTGGGGCGGGATGCAGACAGATGGAAACAGAGCAGGGGATGGGGAAGGTGGAACCCCCAAGGGTGAGGCATGCTTGATTCTGACAGGATGACCCTTACTCCAGGCTGCTATTATTCACTAGCACGTATAGAGAAAAACATAGAGATGACCTTTCTGGGTCAACAGATTAGAAGAAGGCACCCCTTCCCCCTTGATGGACCACCTAGATCAAAATGTCCCCTCTTGTCAGCTGTTGCAGCCCAGGACACAGGCCTTGGCTATGAAGCTGGATTTCTGCTCCTTTTCCCCACTTTGTCATAGTGCCTTCATGCAGGGCATAGCCACATGGGGTGACCCTGTTCTTATCCGGGCTGAAGAAGGCAGGCTCAGAAATCCACATCCCTGAGCAGAGAAGAGAAGCCAGGCCCCATAGCTTGGCTTCATGCCCGGCACACCCTACAGGCATGTGCAGGAAGATCACATTCCTGGGGACAGTCTGGGCAAATGACATGGCAGGTGACCAGGTTCCTGTGAATGCCTGAGGTGTGCCCATCCCATGTGCCCAGGCTTCCCTGGAGGTAAGGGCTAGGGTAGGGGGTGGGGCAGTGAGTAAAGCCCCAACTGGACCGCTCTTTCCCTGGATCTGTCACTGCTACAGCTGGTTCCAGGAGAAGCCACAGGTGCCTATAGGGACGAATGGGGCTTCTTGGGCATAGAGTAATGAGTGTCTGACCTAAGCAAGGGCACTGTCGCCTCCTCTGCCCAGGCTCGAACTGTGCACCTTTACCCTGGCGGTTGCCCTGGGTGCTGTCCTGCTCCTGCCCTTCTCCATCATCAGCAATGAGGTGCTGCTCTCTCTGCCTCGAAACTACTACATCCAGTGGCTCAACGGCTCCCTCATCCATGGTGCGTGGCTCCTGGTTGCAGCTTGGGGTGGGGATAGGGAGCAGGTAGGTCAGTCCCCTTACTGACCACCTCTGCTTTTTCTTTTTTGCTCTAGGCCTCTGGAACCTCGTTTTTCTCTTTTCTAACTTGTCCCTCATCTTCCTCATGCCCTTTGCATACTTCTTCACTGAGTCTGAAGGCTTTGCTGGCTCCAGAAAGGTGAGTGGGGGATGTGTCAATTGATCCAGGCGGGAACCAGATTTCTACTCAAATGCTTCACCTGAAGAGATTTTAATGAACAGACTATTTGCAGAGGTATAGTCAGAATTAAGGGGACCAACAAGGAGTTTGAGGTGCTAGCAACAGCAAGAAGTCATTACCACATCTAAGCCCATGGGAGTGAAGGGAAGAAATCATTTCTGGAACCCACTGATAGTTGAAGCTGGGGAGGTGCAGCCACCAAGCAGAGGAGCTGTTGTCTTAGTGTTGCAGCCACTGCCGAAACCAAGGTGCCAAAGGTGGGAGGACACACAGAAAAAGTACCCTGACCTCTCTCTCTTCCTACCTTCCACTCTCCTGCTGGTCCTTCCCATTGGGCAAGCTGAACAGGAAGCCAGAAAGCAAAGAGCTTATGTGATGCAGACCTCGGGGGTCAACCTCCCAGAGCACGGTGGGGACTGAATCTGGGGAGGGAGTTGCAAATGAAGAATATCCAGTATAGGGAATGGACCCAGATTGTAGGGTAGGAGGACAGAGTGACTTAGAATAAGAGGGAAATGCCCTCCCCTGTCTCCTGAATCTAAAGCTCTTTAGTTCCCCCAGCCAGGCTGCCATCTCTGATGTCTCCTTCCTTCCCCATGTTGCCCTGGTGCTGACCCCTCCCCCCTCCACCTCTTGCCTCCTCCTGTAGGGTGTCCTGGGCCGAGTCTACGAGACGGTGGTAATGTTGATGCTTCTCACTCTGCTGGTGCTGGGCATAGTGTGGGTGGCATCAGCCATTGTGGACAACAACAAGGCCAGCAGGGAGTCACTCTATGGTGAGAGGGCCAGCTTCCTCCCCACCCTCCAGCTGAGTGGCTCTTCAGTTGGCTAATGTCCCGCTGCCTGGAACAACAGTATCCCTCTAAGGTGGAGAAGGTTGGGACCCTCTCCCTTAGACTGAAGTTTCAAACTGATGGACTTCAGGGCAAATCCAACCTGCAGAAGTGTTCCGTGGGGCCCATGCATTGATTAAAATATATGTATATGAGTCAGTTGTTGACATGTTAAAGTTGAGAGGTTAATATCCATATTTGCTTGACAAGTTTGAGGATCCAGCCACACTAGTCCCTGGTGACTGAGGCCAAGTAGTGGCTGTGCCTTTTCAGTAGGGCTTAGGATCTCCAGTTTTCTGTAGTCCCTGCCACTCCATCTTCTGCTGAGGCAGTTGAGCTTTCCTCATTTGCATTATTTGCGTAACCCCTGTAGGCTTCAGTGTAGTGTCCTTCCCTAGTCTCTGAGGCCTGTGAGCCCTCCGTAAGCAGGAAGAGGGAGACGAGCTGACGTACATCTTTTTTTACCCTTAGACTTCTGGGAGTACTACCTCCCCTACCTCTACTCCTGCATCTCCTTCCTCGGAGTCCTGCTGCTCCTGGGTGAGTGTTCGGGTCTGAGGGGATGGATAAGGTCCTTGGGCCAGAGTGACCAGGGTGGAAGGAGAGGGAATAGAGGAGTGGGTAGGGGAAGTGGTGGAGAGAAGGGTCTGGCAGGTGACTGGCTCCTGTCCCCACAGTTTGTACTCCATTAGGTCTCGCCCGCATGTTCTCGGTCACTGGGAAGCTGCTGGTCAAGCCCCGGGTATGTACTGCTCCTTGCCCTTTGATCCTGCAGGGCAAGCTTCCTGCAAAGCTGGAGCCATACAATGAAGCAATCCCATGGTTGTGTATTGCACACCTTGCAGAGGGCCACAGCTTTTGTTGGCTCCTGTATCCTTCACCCCTATCATCTGGAGCTGGTCACCAGACATGCAAAGCAGAACACAAGGCAGTTGGGAGGGACTGGATGAAGTTGTTGGCCACAGGGTGGTGAATGAGGGTTAGGGGAAGGAATGGGACTCTGGAGCCCTGGGATGAGCAGGGTTCTCCTGGGGCCCTTGGAATCCGGGAGCCTCTGTCAGTTGGTCCCTCCTTCTCCCCTACCCTCAGCTGCTGGAAGACCTGGAGGAGCAGCTGTACTGCTCAGCCTTTGAGGAGGCAGCCTTGACCCGCAGGATTTGCAGTGAGTTGTGGTCCTTCCCAGCAGGGATGGTGGGCGTGGCTTGGGCCGGGGCTGCAGGACTTGGGGGCAGCACCATCCTCTCTGCCCTCAGATCCCACCTCCTGCTGGCTGCCTTTGGACATGGAGCTGGTTCACAGACAGGTCCTGGCTCTGCAGACACAGAGGGTCCTGCTCGGTATGTGGGATGGTAGTGATCGGGATACCTGGGCTTCCCCAAGGGAAGTAGCCCCTCATTCCAGGCCCTTGCTGACAGCTTCCCATCCCTGCACAGAGAAGCGGCGGAAGGCTTCCGCCTGGCAGCGGAACCTGGGCTACCCCCTGGCCATGCTGTTCTTGCTGGTACTGACGGTAGGTATTCCAGCCTTGGTGGGTTGGGGAGCAGTAGGCCCTTGAATACTTTAGGCTTTCTCAGGGAAAAGGGAGGAGATGCAGGGACCTGGTTGTCATCAATAATAATAGTTACCTCTCACTGAGTGCCTACTTTGTGTCCTGCCTTGTGCTGAGCACATCAATTCCCATTTTGTGGATGAAGAAACAGAGAAGTTAAGGAGTTTGCCCAAGCCCACACAGGGCCACTGAGTAGTTATGCAAGTTTGCTCTGGGATGAAAATAAGGATTGAAATCCAGTCCATCCCCCCACTTGCCACATCCTGGACTTGGGAATAAATCTTATTAGTCTGGAGGAAGAGGCACATTTTTCTGTTCAGCCTTTTTGCAGTCCTTCCACTTGGGAAGTTACATCTTATAATGCCCTCAAAGGTGTTCTCTTGCTAGCAACAGCCTTGAGGACATCCCACACAGCTAATTGGAAACTGAAAATGTTGGACCAGGGTGTCTGCTCTTACTTTTCAACTCAGGATACTGCTGTGGGCTGGGGCAGGGATGGGAGTTTGTGACCTTGCCTTACACAGGGCCTGTCTGTACTCATTGTGGCCATCCACATCCTGGAGCTGCTCATTGATGAGGCTGCCATGCCCCGGGGCATGCAGGTATTGGGTTGGCATCCCACCATGTGTTTTGGGGAGGGCCTAGGAAAGGCTGGGATGAGGGGGCAGAAGCTGAAGCCAGAGGGAAGGTTGAGTGCTGGGTGGTACTGATGGTTGGAAGTACTCCACAGTGACACCACTCCATCTCTCAGGGTACCTCTCTGGGCCAGGTCTCCTTCTCCAAGCTTGGCTCCTTTGGTGCTGTCATTCAGGTTGTACTCATCTTGTATCCTTCTGGAAATCCATCATTGCCTCTGTTTGCTGAATCTGTCTCCTCTGGGACTCTGGGCAGAGCTACAGTGAGGGTGATGGGGAAGGGGGCAAGTCTTCACCAACCTGGGGTTCAGAAAGCAGGAAAAGACTTGATTTGAAAGGAGGGCTGGGGGAGAGGTCTGTTCCCTTTGAGATGAGGCATTAATCCTTGGGAGCTGGCCAGTTCTTCCCTAACCCAGTGGCAGTTACCTGATGGTCTCATCGGTTGTGGGATTCTACAGCTCTCCACTCTTCCGGGGCCTGTGGCCCAGATGGCACGACACAGCCATGACACAGGTAGCTGGGCGAGGGTAGAGGAAGCCCCCCTGGGAACATGCATGGGTACTAGGTGCTGGAGCTCCTGCCCTCACCTCCCCTTTCCTTACTCCCACCCAGATAATTGGGAACTGTGTCTGCCTCCTGGTCCTGAGCTCAGCACTTCCTGTCTTCTCTCGAACTCTAGGTAAGTAGCAAAAGGAGGTAAGGGAATTGGCTTTTTTTGAGTACCTACTGGTGCTAAGCAGGTACTTTATATATATGCTCTCTCTAATTCAAACAACAAACCTATGAGGAGGTATTATCCCCATTATACAGAAGGAGAAACTGAGGCTCTGTAAACTGCCTATGCTGAGCTTCAGAGTAGTAGAGTAGTGTTGCTTCAAAGCTCATACCTTTCCCATTTGCTTCCTCCCACACCCTCCCCCATTTACGTCCATTTTTTGGTGGAGAAGCACCACTTTTCCCCAAATCTTCTTCTGGGGTGGATCATTTAATAAACATTCTCATTTTAAAGATAAAAAACAGAAAAGCCAATTGATTTACCCAGAATTATACAGCTAGTTTGGGGCAAGGCCAAGTCAGGCTGGAACCCTTGTCTCCTGAACCCTAGTCCATTGCTTTCCCCACACACTGGGGTGTCAAATAATATGCTCAGGGCTTCTCCCATTTTTAGAGCTATAATCTAGAATTACCTGGTAAAAATGTTCGAAAGTGTATCTAGTTCACCCGAAGGGAGTATGGGAGTGGCATAGGTACCTGCCACCCCCACATCATCATCCATATATTATAAATGATTTAGTATTTACATCAGTTCTATTTGGTTCTTAAGTTCATGCTCTCTCCGCTATACCATCTGTATTTATGCCATGGAGATTTAGTAGGAAGATTTAGACTTGTGGGCCCATCAGTTAGTTTGTTTAGATTGAATGCAAGTAGGAGTATTTTGTTTTAAAGTGGGGGGTGGCCCGAGATTTTTGATTTATGGTGATAATATTAAGGGCTCACTGAGCGTTAGAATGGTGCCTGGCACTTATAGTGCTTTATGTGTATTGTCTTATTTAATTCTCACAGTCCCATTATTTTCTTTACTTTATAGTTGAGGAAACTGAGGCACAGGTGTTGAAGGAATTTGCCCCAGATCACACAGTTAGTGAGGGGTGGAGTTTGGAACCAAAGCAGCTCAGAGTCCGAGCTCTTAGCCTCCACACTGCCCTGTCTACTAAAAAAACGCTTGATGAACAGCTTGCAGGTTCCTGATCCAGGAACAAGTAGCAGGTTCAGGGAGCTCCTCGGGGCACCTGCAGCCTGAGCAAAGGCCACATTGGAGGAGAAGATGCCAAACTCTGGAAGGGAAATTGAAGGAAGCCTAGCTGCTGATGCTTTTCTTCAACAGGACTGAACTGCCCCTGAGACAGAGCTTGGGAGGTAGGAATAATTAACGCATAGGAGAGGCCAACTGATCAGTTGCAGTGTTGAGATGTAGCCACCAGGAGGCAGCAGAAAGCTGGGCTGTGGGTCAGGGAGGGGCTGGGGAGCCCACCTCCCATCCTGGCCTTTGTATTTCAGGGCTCACTCGCTTTGACCTGCTGGGTGACTTTGGACGCTTCAACTGGCTGGGCAATTTCTACATCGTGTTCCTCTACAATGCAGCCTTCGCGGGCCTCACCACTCTATGTCTGGTGAAGACCTTCACCGCAGCTGTGCGGGCAGAACTGATCCGGGCCTTTGGTGAGAGGGGGTGGGGGCACAGGCTGGTGGGGTGGTTGTGAGGTGGAGCCCTCTGGAACAGTGGTCATCCCGGCAGGGGAGAGGGCATGTTCTCTGCTTTGTTTGTGATGTACCTCATCCACCCTGTCTATGGCTTGGTTGTCTTATCCCTGAAGACTGGACCTATGCCTCACTTTTGACTGCCCCCTACTCTTCTCCAGGGCTGGACAGACTGCCATTGCCTGTCTCCGGTTTCCCCCGGGCATCTAGGAAGACCCAGCACCAGTGACCTCCAGCTGGGTGTGGGAGGGAGAAAACTGGACACTGCCATCTGCTGCCCAGGCCTGGAGGGGTGGGTGGACCTCAGGACCTGGAATCTGAGAGGGTGGGTGGCAGAGGGGAGCTGAGCCGTCTGCACTGTCGCATAATCTGAGCCAGAGTTTGGGACCAGGCCCCCCCGCCGCTTTTCCAGATTTAACCATGGGCCCCAGTGTGGGGTGGGGCTGCGTGACTGGGTCTGGCTCCTGGTCCCAAACGTGTTTACACATCACTCTGCCTCACTGCTGTTTCGGGCCATGCCCGTAGCCATGTTTACATGATTTGATGTGCAATAGGGTGGGGTGGGGACAGGGGAGGGACTGGGCCGGGGTGGACTTGGGAGGTGGATTGTCTCCCTTGCCTCTGGCCCATCAGAACCTAAGCACTGTGCTGTCCTAGAGGGGTTTTGGACTACCAGAGAGATGAGGGCATAGGGAGGAAGAGGCCACAACTATCAGCAATAAAGTTGATCCAGGGTTTGCTTTGGTTTTTTAAAGAGTCTTTGTGTCTGTTTGAACAGCCTTGCTCCCTGCAGTCCTAAGGCTACCAACTGAGAGAAACGGGTCCTGCACACCATCCTTTGCCTGCCCTCCATCTACATTCTTACTGGCCTTTGGGGACTTGGGTCTGGTGTTAGGCCACACGATTAGGCAGTGGGAAGCTCCTCCTCCCTTAGCCTTGTGTAAAGCTGGTTGGTCCCCTGACTCTTCCTTGTGCCCATGGCCTTGTTCTGTGCCTTAGTTCTTGGGGGCAGGTGGGCATGGGTGTAGGAATGGGATAACCTCTCCCTATACACATACACCTCCCTCACTTGACTCTTGGATGTAGAGTAAAAGAAGTGGCGGCCTGACAAGGTTTTTTGATCCCCAGCTCAGAGAAGAACCTAACTCCATCTTTCCAGCTCTCGGTGCCCCGAATGCTATGTGCGCCTCGCTGCTATGTTGGGGGCAGGGGCAAAGTTTCTGCTCAGGGTCATGCAGGTCGTATGTTGCACAACTTCAGGGGCACCATTCACCTCATAGTCACTGTATATGTAGTTACTATGACTATTTTCTGGCAAATGGCAGTCGGGTGTCTTTTGTGGAAGGGGTGCTTTTTTCTAATGTGCACAAAGTTGCTGTGAGTGCTAGCCATAGAGCTGAGTGAGGGGTGAGTATAGAATACAAAAAAAGTGTAGATGCCACCAGTACTTGCTGAGCACTCTACTATAGGCCAGGCGCTTAGTTAGCTATAGGGCTACGTGATAAACAAGTTTGTGCTTAAGAATTGTTTTGTCTAGTAAAGGTTGCAGATAATTCTAATATTGTACCACAATGGATGGCAGTTAATTACTGGTTCTCAAGGAAACACAGAGATGGGCAGTTGTCAGGACATCAGGGAAGGCTTCTGAGAAAAAGTGATTTCTAAATGATAGTAGATTGGTGGGTGAAGTGTTGCAGGCTCAAAGCCTCTGAGATGAGACCTGAGTGGCCAGAGGCAGAGCCCCAGGGGGTCCAGAGAGGAAGAAGGCTAGAGAGATGCCTAGATGGAAGGTCAACAGAAGCAGTTATTAGCCTGTTAGAGACTACAAATGTAAGTACCCATTGCCCTCCACCAGCTTCCAATTGACAAGTTATTCGTTTGAAAAGAAGCAGCTGTTGGGGTTTGGCCAGGACAAGAGAGGAGACAAAAGTTTGAAGTCTTCAACTAGACTATAACTATGGAGCTCTGTTCCTGATTCTGAGGAAGCTCCCAGCAGAAGGCTGCAAAGCTACCAGGGAAAATGGTCCTCTGGTGCCCACCCCTTCCAGTCCTGGTTACTGCTGGTGAGGAAAGGTGGAAGTAGGGGAGGTTTGGGGAGGACCACAGAGAAAGGGAGGTTCTGGTTGGTTATATGCCCAAAGGGCTTGGCTGGCCTTGGACAGAAGCTAGAACCCATACCTCCTGGATGATAGCAGAGCACATGGCCTGCCAGGGTAGGCTTTGGGAGAGCAAAGATCCAATTCAAGTATCAGAGGAGGATGGTTTGGTGCCAAGCTTAGGCTTGGAGATGGAAGGATGCTTTATCCAGGCAGCCAACGACTGTAACGCTACTAGAATTTCCTAGGCAGGTCCCTGCCTGTTTTCCAGGATGGGACAGTTAATTGCTTCAGTCACGAAATGGACCAGCAGTGACGGACTGGAGCCCCCGCCCTGGTGGGAGGGGGCGGGACGGTCCTGGGAGAAGGGCGGGGGGCGGGGCCAGGGGCCACTTAAGGCGGAGCCTGGGCGTTCTGGCAGCGCTGGAGCCAGGCAGCAGAGCCAAGCTGGGCTGGCACTCACCCACGACCCCCCTTCCCTGCTATGATGGCCCGTCACTAGCAGGTTCCAGACCCCCCGGGGGCATGTAGGCAGAGCTGGCGGCAGCCAGGTGCGCAGAGCCACAAGCGCTCTAGGGCACTCTGGGGGCAGCTCTGCCTGCTGCGCTCTCTGGTGCCTGGGGAAATGCCCAACTGACGGGCGAACTGGTGAGGACAAGAACGTTCCCTTTTGGCCCGAGTCTGCTGCATCCATGGCGCTGCCAGCCAGTCTGGTGCCCCTGTGCTGCTTGGCACTTCTGGCGCTGCCGGCCCAGAGCTGCGGTCCGGGCCGGGGGCCGGTTGGCCGGCGCCGCTACGTGCGCAAGCAGCTGGTGCCGCTGCTCTACAAGCAATTTGTCCCCAGCGTGCCTGAGCGGACCCTGGGCGCCAGTGGGCCAGCCGAAGGGAGGGTGGCAAGGGGCTCCGAGCGCTTCCGGGACCTGGTGCCCAACTACAACCCCGACATCATCTTCAAGGATGAGGAGAACAGTGGAGCAGACCGCCTGATGACCGAGGTAAGGAGGGCCTCTCCTCACCTGCGCCAGGGCACTGTCAACTCCTCTGCTCTCCTATAGCAGCCCGGGAGGGTGAGCTGGGCTTCATCTATTGAGACCTCAGTCCGAAAGACCTTCCCCCAACAGAAAAAAACCCTGCTGACTGAACTGAGTGATCAGGAGGGATCCCAACGAGGAGAGGCTGGGATGGCGAGGGGGAGGAGGGACTAGTGAGAGTGAAGCTGGGAGAGACAGTGAGGGCGGGGAAAGGAGGATGGCGGCAGGCGAGACGGGAAATGGCTGAGGCGTGGACCGGGGGTCAGCTACCAAGCCAGGCAGGAAGGGCTGGGGTGAGCTGGGGGCCAGGAGCTAGCTAGGCAGCAGACAGAAAGCTCTACCCTTAGCCTGTCTCCTGACCCGATTGTGGAAAAGCTCTGTGGGCCAAAGAGACAGAAGGGGGCTGGCAAAGGGGTGGCCAAGGGTCAGGTCACCAGGCCATCTACCTGAGGAGGAGCTGAGCAGGAATTGTCTTTGGCATGGGAGAGGCATCCTAGAACCAGGGCAAGGCTTTTCTAGAATCTAAACGATTGTCTTGGGGTGAAGAGCAGTTTTCAGTGAGAAAATTAGATGGGCCCACCTGAGAATCAGAGGGCTCCTGCATCCCTCAAGCTCAGCTTAGCTCAGGGGCTTTCCTTGGAATTAAAGAATTAAAATGAATTCAACTACCATGCATTGAGCATCTGCTGCAGACTAGAACCTAACCAACCTAGGATGAAGTGAGCAATGACTTGGGAGAGAAGGACCACCTCTGGCCAGTGATCTCAAATGTCAGAACTGGAAAGAAACTTGAAAGTCACATTCTTCCATCCTCCTCCACCTCCCTCATCCCCCATTTTACATTGAGAGCTGGTCCCAGGAGGAAAAGTGATTTAATCAAATTCTTAAAACTAATTAGTGGCATAGTTGGGACTAGAATTCAGGACTCCTGATTCTAAGTCTTATACACTTTCCATTACACCACCTAATTGTGTATGGAGTGGGGAGGTGGGGGGAGAGGGAGGGGTACGGATTTCCTCTGATTAATTGCCATAGTTTTCCAGGTTATTTTGTTAGGAAAACCTGTCCAGGGGAGAAAGAATTCCTTCTTGCTCCCGCCCTGAAGCCTTCCTCCTGCCCAGAGATTGGGGATACTCCTTCCCTCCTGGGTCATGGAATATGGTGGCCCTTCCCTCTGGCTGCCACCTGCAGCAAAGAGGGCAAAACAAGGGACAGGCCCAGGAAGGGTTCTGACAGGCCTGGGAACCCCCTCGGCCTGCTTATCTCCCACACCCTGGCTGCAAAAGGCCTCCATTGACTTGGCTCTGCACTGGGCTGCTGCCCCCGCAGGTCAAGGCCTCAGGGCCTCCTTAGGGGACAAAACGACAAAAAGTTGGAAGGAGTTACCACTTTTCCTGTCCCCCCCGCCCCCCCTCCAACCCTGCGGAGGTGTAGAAGACTCAGGAAGAAGGTTAGGGGGAAAGTGTCTCTCTGGCAGTTAGGAGAAAACCAAGTCCGAGGTGAGAGGTCAGAGGGGGGAGAAGAAAAGGAAGTTGCCCACTCTGCGCCTCCTCCCGCCATGTCCATGCTATGGTGCGCGCCAAGGTCTCCGGCTCCCAGACTGGAGCGGCCGAGATAACCTTGGTCTCACTCCCCCGGGTGCAGGCTTCCAGCCGCTGCTGCTTTTCCTCCTCTCCACTCCCACCCTGCAGGGGGCCCCCCAGATCCGCGCAAAGGCAGCTCCCGTTATTCTCAGGTGCTTCTCCCACGCCTTTCTGGACCGCATCTGGAAGAGAGAGGGAGAGATGGGGGCTCTCAGGGGTGGCAGAACCTTAGCAGGATCTGGGAAAGCTGGCCGCGCTGGGGGAGGGGACCCGGCAGGCCGGAGCAGGGATTGGGGGCGCGGCTTTCTGCCCTTTCCTCTTTCTGCGCCGGGGCGGCTGAAAAGCGCCTTTGTGGATGGAGCTGCTGAGTCCGCTTCTCCCGGCGCGTCCCCGGCCTCGGCCCGGGATTCTCGCTCGGTTAAGTCATCCCGGAGAATGGCCATTGTACTTCCCGCAGCCCCCGCCACCCCAACCCTTTTCCAGCAGCCTTGATCCCTCACGGCTCCGCTTGGGCACCTCTGTGGGGGGCACTCGCTCCACGAAGGGGTTAATGCGAGGGGCCAAAAGGAGGAGGAGGAAGGAAGGAAGGAAGCGATGCCCGGTGCCAGGGAAGGCAACGAAACAAAAGATGAATCAGGCGGAGGGAGGCAGCCGGGGTTTGGGGCGGGGGCCAGGCTCAAACAGGGGCTCCTCTCCGGGAGCCAGGCTGCTCAACCCCTCCCTGACCAAGCTTCCACCCGCCCTCTCCCAGGTTAAGCTGAGGTCCCAGAAAGAATAGGGGTGAGGGGCGGGCATTAAAAGTGGGGAAAGAGCTAGATATAGGCGTCCCCTCTCAATCTCAGAGGTGACCCCACAGTTTTCCAACGATGCTCTGGAAAGGGAGCGCACATTGGCGGCGACACCTATTCAGATTCTCACTTCTCCAGGACACTCAAAAGCTGGGAGGGAGTGGAGTGGGGCGGGGAAAACAGAGGAATTGACCCTTCCCGTCCAGGTCCCTTTTGCCCCCACGGTGGTGGTGGCTGTAGTGAGGAGACCTACTCCTTTATTCCCCACCAGCGTTGTAAGGAGCGGGTGAACGCGCTAGCCATTGCCGTGATGAACATGTGGCCCGGAGTGCGCCTGCGGGTGACCGAAGGCTGGGATGAGGACGGCCACCATGCTCAGGACTCACTCCACTACGAAGGCCGTGCCTTGGACATCACCACGTCCGACCGCGACCGCAATAAGTATGGGTTGCTGGCGCGCCTGGCAGTGGAAGCCGGTTTCGACTGGGTCTACTACGAGTCCCGCAACCACGTCCACGTGTCGGTCAAAGCCGGTACAGTAGGGGGTGGGTGGTGAGGTCCGCCCAAAGGGGGCTCTCTCTGGGAAACTGAGGCTGCACTGCCCTGTTGCGACTCTAGGGGAGACCAAGTGGGCGTTAGTGTTGGAATCCACCCTTCCATTCCTGCCCAGGTCGGGGCCAGATCCGCGGGTCATTGCATGTTGTCCCCGGACTGGTGAGGTCTGCGCTGGGCTTGACCCACATCTTTGAGAATCTGTACCAACATTCTGGAACCGCTGGTCTTCATGCAATCCTCTCTGTGCTTGTTCCCTGCAGATAACTCACTGGCGGTCAGGGCAGGCGGCTGCTTTCCGGGAAATGCCACAGTGCGCCTGCGGAGCGGCGAGCGGAAGGGGCTGAGGGAACTGCATCGCGGGGACTGGGTGCTGGCGGCAGACGCGACGGGCCGGGTGGTGCCCACGCCGGTGCTGCTCTTTCTGGACCGGGACTTGCAGCGCCGGGCCTCTTTCGTGGCTGTGGAGACCGAGCGGCCCCCGCGCAAGCTGTTGCTCACGCCCTGGCACCTGGTGTTCGCCGCTCGCGGGCCGGCGCCGGCGCCAGGCGATTTTGCACCGGTGTTCGCGCGCCGGCTGCGCGCGGGGGACTCAGTGCTGGCGCCCGGCGGGGACGCCCTTCGGCCGGCGCGTGTGGCTCGCGTGGCGCGGGAGGAAGCCGTGGGGGTGTTCGCGCCGCTCACAGCGCACGGGACGCTGCTGGTCAACGACGTCCTGGCCTCTTGCTACGCGGTTCTGGAGAGTCATCAGTGGGCACACCGCGCGTTTGCTCCTTTGCGCCTGCTGCACGCGCTGGGGGCGCTGCTTCCCGGCGGGGCCGTCCAGCCGACTGGCATGCATTGGTACTCTCGGTTCCTCTATCGCTTGGCGGAGGAGTTGCTGGGCTGAGCACTCCAGGCATAGAAACCTCGAGGCGCCCGCCGAAAAGGGGCGTGCGGGCTGAGATCTGGGGATGTGGGCAGCAACCGATGCTGATTGGGAGGGAGGGAAGAATGGGGAGAAAAATGGAGGCGATACGGGACTGCCTGGTTTAGGGGTAACCTCCAACCGTAAAGAGATGATACCGGGTCTTAGGTAGGTGGAGTAGATGGTGGTTACTCCTTGACGGGGACTATTTCGCCTCTTCTGCCCCGGTGCCTCAGCCCCACCTGATTATTTTATTTTATTTTCTATTTATAAATTGTAATATAATGATCTGCTTGCCCAGCCTGGCAAGATGAGGGGCTAGGGCTTGGAGTTAACACTGTCTGACACAGCCAGCCAATGTGACGTCCGACATTCCCACAGGGGGGCTAATAAAGGGAAGGCTTCCAGGAGCTTATTGGAAAACATCTCTATTTAGAGGGTGATTCACCTCTGGAAGTGGGGAGGAAGGGGACCAACCTGGTGTCAATCCCTTACTTCCGACTCCTCCCTTCTTCCCCAGCAGGTGTTCCTGCTCTTCTTCCTCCCCACTGAGGGGGCATCCCAATCAATCAGCAACAGAGACCAGAAGAGTCAGTCGTGCCCTTTTCTGGGCTCCTAGTCCCTTCTCCCACCCAGAGAGGACCAGCATTCTGTCCCCACGGTTGCATACGACTGTTGGAGGGTCCAGGGTTGTCGAACAAGGGAGAGGGCCCTTGTGGGTCCTTTCTATGTTCATAGCGACTCCAGCAGGGACTCAGGCCATTGTGGGTACTGAATGCAAAGAATTCTGACCCCCTGACCATTAGCCTGCAGTCCTGAGCCCTTTCTCAAGGTCATGAATCAGCCTAGCCCACATCCTACCCTTGTGTCAGGGTCTGGATGGGGCCGATGTTTTTTTCTGGAATGTCACTGGACTCACTGATGACCAGTGGGAATCTCTAGCTAATTCATAACTGATAGTCCCCACACACTCTTGGTCAAGAGAAAGAACCCGGACAGAGGGCTGGAACCTATCCCTCCTGAAGGGTTGCTCACAGAGACTGGCTTCAGCCCTGTTATATTGGGGGAAAATAGGCTCTCCAAGCAAGGGCATGTAGGAAGTAAAACCAGAGCCCCTTCCTGGTCACCAGTCCTGGTTGTTGTTTCTACTGGCTTACTCTGCCTCCCCTTCTCCCCTCTCCCACTATCCCTGGTCCTGCTTCCCTGGACTAAGTGTTTTTGGAAGCTTTGGGTTCCAACGCAGCAGACACCTGGAATCCAGGCAGGCAGGCACCCCTCAATTAGGAATGGAAGCTCTGGGGAAGTTGGGCTTCACTGGAAGGGGAGTGTCTAGGGCCTGGGGGGTAGTGGGGGTTGGTGGTACCTGCCCTTCCCTGTAGCCGCTGTGCTCTCCCAGTTCAGGGTCTCTGCTATGCACTGCCCTCTGGTGGCCTTCAGGATCAGTTCCCTTCCAAACCAAAGGAAAGAGAACTATATATACTAAATGGATGATGGGTGGACTGGAGCAAAGGAGCCTTCTCCTAGGAGTGGAGAGATGGTGGGTGGGGCTTGTTAAACTACCAGGGCTGAGCCACAGGTGTCCAGGGCTGGCAAGGAGCCACCTGCCTCTCATTGGGAAAGCTCTTGCAAACCACCCACTTTTGCATTCCTGTGGCTCCTAGAAGCTGGAGGCATATAGCCTGTCACAGTCCCGACTTCCTCATGAATTCAAGTTGCCCCCTCATCTCCCTCACCCTTGTAACCCTTGAGTTCAGTGTCTGGAGGTGAAAGCATACTTAGGATTCCAGGTAGTGCTTGATAAAGGCAACATTTGGAAGCGGGCTAAGGTTACCTTTAGTGTCCTTCCACCCATCATTTCCCTCAGTCCTCACCTGGTGCCTGTTGCTACCTTCCTGTACCTACCTTCCCCTTTCCCCACTCTCAGAAACACAGTCCAACCTGTGGACCTTTCCTACTTTCTTTTTAAACCTGCCTTTGTCTCTCTTTATCATATCCTGATGCCCTCCTGTCATGTCATTCCAGGTGATAACTAATCTGATAAACTAATTAGTCTTCCTATGTTGATGGACTCCATTTTTTTTTTTTTTTTTACTCCCCTTCCCAGGTAATGCATATGTCTTAAAGCCCTGCTAAAAATAAGGCCTTAGACCACAAAACCATAAGGTGCTGATTCCTAGCACCTTAATAAGTTAGGAAGGAAGATATTTGGGGACAAGGAGAACTAATTGTTTTCCCTTAAACTACATCCTATAGACTACTTCCCAGGCCTGAGACTCACCTTTCACCCCTCACTTCCATCTCTCATTATCCTTGTCTCTTTGAGGCCCTCCCAGTTCCCTAAAAAAATCTATCACCTGCCTTCAAGCAGCAAAGAGCAGCATCTCCATGAAGCTGGCCAGGAGGGCATATTCACTTGGCCGTACAACATCTCTAATTGCAGCACCTCTTCACATCAACAAAATAGGCAGTGGGGGTTAGGGAAAGTGCATGGCTTGGCAGTCAGGCAGACCCGGAGATAATGATACCTCCCCGACAGGATTCTTGACAAGATCAGTGTATGTCCCCAGTGTGGAAGAGGCACTCTGTAAATGCCATCTATGCTCTGCGCCCATTTCTCACTGCCTTTCCTGCTTTCTACTGTCTGTCTGTTTCTCTCCTCATCACTCCACTAGAAGCACTATCAATGGTTCCTAAACTTTTGGGTGATTTTGTCCCCCCTATAATCGTTTGATTCAGTAACACTGCTGTCTTTAGAAGGTGCTGTGTGACAGACTTGGTTTTGTTTTAGAACTAAAGTATGAGAGTAATCTTGTTTTGAGAATTTTCAAAGCATTTTGTGATAATCCCGGCAAGACCACTCTGCATACTGGGAAACCAGAGTTGAGAATCACTGCTTCAAGGCTCAGGTGACCTTTTTATGGCTAGAATCCAGACCTCCCCTGGCTCCTTTCTTCAAGCAGGATTTACTGAAATCTGCAGTGTAGCACTGCATAGGACACTGAAAAACACACAAAAGATAAAGAAACAGTTTCTTCCCGCGAGGAATAAACATAAAGGTATAAGAATGTTAACTACCAAAGCAACATTGTTACTTAATCAAGATGAATTTTATGGGCAAAAAATGTCATATTAGTACAAAGAAGGCCTTGTGGAGAAAGTAGGGCCTGAATGGGATGTTGAAGCATGTGTAGGTGGAGGAGACCAGAAAGGGCATGCAGGCAGAAGTAACAACACCAGCAAGGACTTGGAATCTGGGATGTGCAGGCTGGTTAGAGTGGGAGATTGGGAAGTGCAACTATACGTAGCTAATGTTTCCTGAGAACATACTACCTGCCAGGCTCTATTCTAGCACTTTACATGCATTCTCATTTAATCCTCACAATAGCCCTATGAGATTGTATTACAGATGAGGAAACTGAGGCAAAGAGAGGTTTAAGTCACTTGCCCAAGTTACTACAGCCAGTAAGTGGTGGAACTGGAGCAGAAATAACAAGAAGTAAGACTGCCTTGATGGATGGGGCCACATCCTATGTGTTTTTGATTCTTCCCTGTTCCCTTCATTGAGTCACGAATAAGTCCTAGCTTTCTGACAGTTATTTCTCTCTCATTTTCGTTAGCTCTTCTTCCTCCTGCCCAGATGGCTGGCTTCCCTAACTAAAGTTACCTAGCCCCCAGTTAAGGAACTATATATATTGGTGCAGATTTCTGGCAGGAATCCACAGCAGGCTGGTATACCAACACAGCGTAAGACTCAGCTGTTTTTGGATTAGGGGAGAGGGGAAATTGAGCTTCATTATGGACTGAATGTATGTGTCTGTCCAAAATTCATACGTTGAAGCTTTAATGCTTATGCGGCTGTATTTAGAGATAGGGCCTCTAAGAAAGTAATTAAGGTCCAGTGAGGCCATAAGAGTAGGGCCCTGATCTGATAGGATTAGTGTCCTTATAAGAAGAGAACCCAGAGAGCTTGCTTTCTCTCTCTTCACATGCACCAAGGAAAGGCCACGCAAAGACATGGTGAGAAGGCAGCCGTCTGCAGGCTGGGAAGAGAGCTTTCACCGCAAACCAAATCGGCTGGAACCTCCATCTTGGACTTTTCTGGTCTCCAAAACTGTGAGAAAATAAATGTTTGATGTCTAAACCAGTCTCTGGTACTTTGTTCTGGCAGCCATAGCAGACTAAGACAAGCTTCCAGAAATGTTTAAATTAAGAAGAGGCCAGTGCTAAGATGGGGTCTTCACTTAGTGAAAATAACCAACTCTGCCTGAAATATGAGGATTTCTGACCTAGAGCCTTGACCTGTTTCTCCCTGACTGTGCTCTTGTGGTCTCTGCTATATCAGAGGAAATTTTCTTCTCTGGTTATGAGACTGAGGAAGGTGTCTATGCGAAGGAGGCTACGACTGGTCAGGGTAGTTCCCTGTGGAGGATTTTATGGTCAATTAGCACATTCAAACCCTCCTCCCCTGTTACTGTCTCCAGATGTGACTTGGTTGATGTATACAAATGAATGCTTCCCGTGAGGTGTTACTGAGTGCCTACTATGTGCTAAATATTGTCCTGTGCCATGGGGATAGGACAATGAAGTCAGGCATGGCTCTTACAGTTCATCTGGAAAGACAGACATAAACAGAAGGTTGTAGAGTGTGGTGAAAGAGATGAGATGTGACATTTAAGCTGAGACCTGAAAGATGAGTAAGAGTGGTTCAAGCAGAGGGAATAGCATGTGCAAAGGCCTGGAGTTGGGAAGCAAGAGTAAGATGAATCAGAGGATCATGGACAAGTTCAGTACAGTGAGAGGGAGATGTGAGTCACTTTAAGGATTTTCGATTTTCTCCTAAAGATGAAAAACAATTGTAGGATTTGAAGCAGGCGAGGGGAAAAAAATCAAACATGCATTTTAAAAAGGAAGTTGGCAATTGGATGGTCTTCCCGGGTCACCTTTATCCCTAAGAAGGTTGGTCCTCATCTGAGCACAGTTCTGATCCTGATCACAAGGAGGAAATGTCCCCAGCCCCACATAGAGCTTTTTATGGGAGCAGAGGGTGGGGGAGCAGTGTAGGGAAATTGGAGCCGTACAGGGCAGGACAGGAACAGAATTGGAGATGGCACCTCCAGCCCTGGCTCTGCTTCTTTCTGAAACTTAAACCCAAACCATCTCTCAACTTCTCTCCTTGGGACCACGCAACCTAAGAACACAGTTGTCTGATTTCAAACCACATGGTGTCCAAACAGAAGTCCTTGGAACTGGAGACTGTTTTTTTTTTTTGGCTATTTTCTTTTGCTTTCCAGAGAGTCTTTCAGCAGAGCGTTGGCTTAGCTTGGAGCTGATGGCCCTAAGCTGAAGCAGAGCTGCCACCCTGAGAGCCAGGTCTGGGCTGAACATTGCAGCTGCCCAGGGAACAGCTGGTTAAGCCCTCAGCAGCTGCAGCAGCTGGGACTCCACCCAACATTTGAGCTGGGATTAATCCCGTTTCCTCCACACACATCCCTTCCTTGTTCTAGTCCCTGGCTAGTCTACAGTATCTCGTAGAATGTTTGAGACTAGATTTCGTGAATCGCCCCCTGAACAAAGCTGGAGGCAAAGTCACCCACCTTCTTCCCTCTCCGAGGCAGCTGACCCAGAGCACCTTAGGATAACCACAGGAAGGAGGGTGTGGGTCTCTCTCACACACAGCCTCCTTTCCCTCATTCTCTCTATCCTTTGATAAACTGACTAGGATGGATTATTTTTTGAAATGTCTGATTTTCAATAATTGTTAGAATTGTGCAAACGTGAAAGGGCTTCTTTGGTCGGGAGAGGAGGCGGATTTCCTTTATCTTTGAGAGACTCCATACCAAGGCCTGGAAACTTGGTGGGAGTGTTGCAGGAGGATCAAGCATCCTACTAGTGGTTGTCACTTTTAAAATGTGATTGCTTCCCACTTAAGTGGGGTTCTACAGTTCAGAACAATAGGGCTGTATATTCTATTTGGTGCTTATGCACCAGCTGTGTGACCTTGAGGAAATCACTTTGTAAGAGATGCCAGAGGCTACAATGAACTGGTACCAAGAGCATGGAAATAAGGAGGTGCTCTGAGATTTAAACAAGGCAAATTAACACACAAAGGGTCAAGGCAGTTCCTCCCAG